GCGCTCGTTCGTGTTCAGTCCCGAATGTTCGGGTTCGGTCACCGAACCCAAACACGATTACTACACAGCTTAAGACAAAAAAAAAAAAAAAAAAACTTAAAAACGAAGAATACAAAGAACTGACAACCAAAAATCCTTCCCCCCCCAAAAAACTTTTTTCTTAATTTATTTTTCAATTTCTCTTTTCCACCTTTTCTGTTTTTTATTTTTTATAATTCTAAAAACTTATTTATTTCCAAAAAAAAGAATATGGGGTTGTAAGGATTAAAAATCCCTACAATCCCATACTTGTTTATTTTTTCTTTACCCATTATTTAATTCAAGAAAAATACGGCAAATTCAAGTCCGTGATGCGGTTGAGGTCGGCCGAGGATGCGGCCGTATATACTGCCGCCCTCCGAGGTCGACCCCGCGGACGTGTCCGTGGGTGTTTCGTAGCTGTCCGGACGTTGTGCAGAGTTCTGTCTCTCAACATTGGAATCGTTTGTCACGGCCTTTCCAAGAATGTTTATGGCCTGCGTCAAGTACGAAATGTCTTTCGACGACTCATCACAGGCAAAAACATGGTAGCCCGCACGCAAGAGCTCCCACACAAGTCCAGCATGCGACTTTCTGAGAAGTATCACCCCCTGATACTCGTGAAAAATCGAACTGCAAAACCTCTACAACCGTGACCGTTGTCGTTCCCACCGCCCATATTCCTCTCTTTCGTTTCCTGCATCACCGCCGTACAATGTTGTGCACCTCTTGAAATAGTCTTCCTCAACGTTCAACTTCACTAGCTCCGCCTTCTACTGAGGGACCCTCATGATCTTCTTGAGGTCGTTGCCCTCGACATGTAGGAAGATCGCCATCGCGTGCTTGTTCTCGACTTGCCAGTTTCCGTATTTAGTTGACGGTCATTCCAACCCCCAGATAGCGTTTCCAAGTCTCAGGTATCACCTCTACGACCTCTAATGTTAAAGGTGTTGCATTATGGTCTTCTGTTGTTTCTGCAGTGCAAAACCGATTAGAATTCAGTTATTGCCGCACAATTTGGACATCATTTTGTGTACAACATCGAAATCGTCCGGCGACCACGCAGAGCGATGTGACGAGGTTGCGAGTTCGAGGATGGCGGTCTTGCAATTCAAGTTTATGGCTGGGGTCACTACTTCGTTGGCCGCGGACAACAACTCCTTTGGGTGCATGTTGATTAACAACAATGTTGACCATTGCCCTTTCTTCTCCCAACACAGATAAAGCACAACGTTTTTTAACCGGCGCAACTCTGATGTCAGCAAGTCCACCTTCCCTATTGCCTGATACACAAAGAACTTGAAATGGAACGACGTATCCCTGTACACGTCCGTTTGTTTCGTTCATGTGTGTGTTATTTGTAGGGTGTGTAATGTCATCGAGAATGTCGACAATCATCAGTGGGAGTCCCAAAACGCACATGTGCTTAGCAAAACCGTTTCCTCCTTGTGTGAAATCGGTGCGACATTAGTATATGGGTCATATGTGGTTCCATGAAGCAACCAGAGAGTACTTCGAAGAGGACCCATGGATGATCTTCGTCCTGTACATGAACCCGCATCATAACAAATGAAACGATGGTTATTGGAACGTGAAAGAGAGTCTCTGCCCTTGGGCAAACCATTACAAGTTTGTTGATATGTAAGAATTTGAGAACCTCATTTCAGTATCTAATGTTGTCCTCAAGCCCAGATTCCTCACCCGTGTGAGTAAATCATTCTGCTTCATTAACCGCTTTAGCAAAAGCCTCGACTGCTACTACATCACTTCTTCTCCACGAATTTTGGAAAGTTCACAGAAACAAGAGTTGGTAGACTGCGCTTGTCATTGTTCATTCTTGGAGTAGTACCCACTCCGTTGCCCAGGGATTTCTCCACAAGGTGTGTACTACTGTTGTGTGCGGTTGACTATTACCGAATGTGCTTTCACCAAAGTGCTATGTGTGGCTTCTTTAAACAAAAGTAGAAAACTCGTGGATGCAGTTGTGCGTGTATCGCGGAACGAGTTGCATATGGATAGGTCCAAGTTCATGATTGTGCTGTATCACCGCGGACCAAATGAGCGGTCTAATGTGGTGATAACAAGTCAGGTTGAAGATTAATATTTGTGGCATAAGGTGGAAGAGAATCCATATACGTGCAACAGTCGGGGAACCACAGATGCACGTATATGGATCATCTGTGAATGTTATGTATGACTTCGGTTCACGACCTCGTTCGTGGGATAACCCGGATATCACAAGATCTGGACGGGTTGTCAAACCTTGTGCTTAAAGGAAAAGAAGTGAAAATATAATCTTAGGCAAAACGGGTGAATTACAAACATTGTAAGAATGTTATACATAGCGGTCATAATTTATTTTTTTCCGACTAGGATATATGATGCATCGTGGGGAGGGGTTGTCGATTTAAGAGCATGAAACTATTTCATGAATACAAGTTGTATTTCTTATGAAACATGTTATGCATGTGTGTAGCCGAAAACAGTAAACATATAGGGTGAAGACAAATATATAAAGTAGTAGAGAGAGGTGTGAGAGGTAGTACTTGCTAAAAACGGAGCAAGTAGACAATATACCGAGTATGTTCGTAGTTCTGTAATTTGTGAAATTGTATATCATATAACAGACGTACTGATTTAGAATATCCATGATCTAATCTCACGAAACTTTCAATTTTTGTTCGTCTATGCGCTCAACTTGCAGGATGAAAGTCGGTCAAATCAACTCTTATGGAAGCGAATCCTCTCATTAAGTCCCATCAACAATTGAGGAATTGATTATTTTAGACATAAACATTTGGTCAGTTGTGATCATCGATGAATTTTTAAATCATGCACACATAAATATCGAAAACGAAGTTGGACTGAATGAAGAAATTCTACCGATAATGGGTTTTGTCAACGGACAAGAGACGATCGTCTACAATCATGAATCGAATATATGGTATCTGTATACAAAGGAGAAAGAGGTTAACATTATAGTATCGAGGACAGACGTTGTTGACCCTTTGGAGATGTTAGCAAATTGGAGGGAGGTATGCATGAAACACGACTGAGACGCAAAAGACAAAAAGAAATAAAAAATACTTGTGTAACATTCCATTAGCAGAAAAGAATTGGTCGCACTAGTCACGATGGACTACTGTGGTCGAATCCGAGAATGCAATAGAGGCAAGGCCATAGTGACACTTTTTTCATCACTGAAGGTCACTGACACGAAAATGAATACGTTGTTTAGTGTCCGGAAAAATTTTTGGGACCTAACATGTTCGAGCAAACTCGAACAGTTTCGGAATTGGTTAGAAATCGATGCGGAACTTAGGAAAAAGTTAGTATATAGGGTTGACAGTTTGGTACATGCGCATAGAAAATGTGACACGGAGGAAGTGATTCGTACGAAGCACTATCATCGGTCGGGATAAAAGGAAGTATCGCTAGTGGTTGGTAAACAAAAGATAGTTGTAGATTGTTAATATTGTGAAGATGTAAAGCACACATAAATTTTATATCCCCTATGTTAAATACGTAAACTAGATAGCATAACTTAACATAACACATTAGTCATCGATAGGATATATTAAGCAATTGACGCATTTCATCGCTGACAGGTGTTCATCAAGTGCTTACTCAGATTATCCACGTGTGAGCGGGAGCAAAATATATATCTTTGGACGTTGGAGCAAATATGTGAACGAATGTAAGAGAAAGTGATAGTGCGTTGCAACGATTGTCAGATTCACATTGTGTGTTGAAGGCAATTAATTTTTTTTTATGTTTATTCATGTTTTTTTCTTTATTATTTCGTTTTCGGTTACGTTGCATATATGAATTTTGAAAAAGCACAAACATTTGTAATTTACATGCTTAAAGTTAACGTATACGAGTTTTTAGCAACCTGGGTTTCGACCCGTTGATCTGCCCCACGTTTTTAAGGCGAATGGCCTGAGCGTGCTTGCCGAGAACAACGTTTTTCGCTGCAGATCGTTTCGATTCGGAATTGGGAGCCTGGGTTGTTTTTTTTTATCTATTTTTTTCATCTGGTTTACCGGTCTGAACGACCTGGTAGGACCCTGACCTCTGGTACCAATTATACGGATTTGTGACGAATAGTCTAGATGCAGCCGTAGGTACCGCGACAGTGGAAATAGTTACGAGAATAGCAGGTATTAATGGTATGGTTACGGAGACATAATCCCTCCGCACCGTGTGTGCACAGAAAGTCAGAGCGGACTGATGGTGCTTAGTTGGTGGGTTCCGCACTGGCGCTTAGCGTTACGCTTCACGAATTTGTCACGAGCAATTATGCTACGGGCAATAATTTTCATTTGCTAATTGCTACTACAGTGATTCTATTTGTTGTCTTGGTGTGTCCTGCCCCTGGGCATGACTCTCATGAGTGTGAAATTTCTAATGCTTTACGCCGGTCCCGTAACCTGCTAGGAAATGTACCTGGAGTGGGTGGCGGATGAGAAGACATCGAGGTGAATAGTGAAGTATCAAGGAAAATTGTGGGTCGGTGTGCCTACGAGACGGATTTCGATTGGTAGATGTGAGGAGACGAAGCGAGTTGGAAAGTAAGCATCTGTTACCAAGAAGCGAAACGTGACACTGGAGGTGAGAGGATATGAGTCAGTCTAGAGGTTCGGCGAGAATGGGGGGAACCAACGGGGGGTAGTGGGCAGCCCACTGCTCTTGTGAGGGCCCACCCCATGCTAGGTAAGACGTGTTATAAATGTGGTGAGGCTGACCATTTCGCGAACGTCTGTGAAGAGTATCATGAGGCGAAAGCACCGGGAGTGGCCTTCGTTCCTCCACCACCGAGACCAAGACTAGGGAGGTTGGCATCCACGCACAATGAGCATCCACGAAGCTTGTCAATCGATAGTCTGGCAAACAGGAGTGGGTCAACATACACAGACAAATTGATGCGAGAATATTTCTTGGAACTGGCGGAAGAGAGATGAGCCAGGAAGGAACAAGAGACAAGAGAACTCGAGGATAGGAAAGCTGAGGAAGCGCGCTTGGAGAAAGAAAGAAAAAGGTTGGAGCGATTGGAAGAACGTAAGCGATATGAAGACGAGAGAAATGCGAGACTTCTGCGATTGGTGCGGGTGGAATGGGGTAGCATCACAAAGCAGGAAGCCGAGAAACCGGATAAAAAGAAGGTGCGAGTTAATGAAAGAGGAGAAACGGTGGAAGAAGAGAAAGAAAGGCTGAGGAGGGAGATTGCGATGCAGCAGAGCTCTGAAGAAGAAGAAGATACGGAACTTATACTACTGAGAAGGCGTGCTGCCAGGATCAACATCAACGAAAAGAGACGGCGCGATCCTGAGGGCAAGATGGCCTGCGCAATGCCTCAAATTACGCCAACTAAGGGACCGCGACCTGGTCTCATGGCGGACGCCAGAGGAGTAAGACCAGCATTGAGCACTGATGCGAATAATAGAATTGACGAAATTAAGAAGTGTGAAGGCGAAAAATCGACTTCTGCATCTACGATACTCTTGCCGGTTGGAAAACTGTCGCTGAGCATGAAACATGTGTCAGTTGGATGTGGCCCGGGGGATAGGGAGAAATTCGAAGTGGAGCGCCGTGACTTATTTGAGGCACTGACAGTGGATGAACTTAAAGAAGTTTGCAAGAATGAGAAGATTGGCTATGTGAAACGAGACGTAGCTATCAAGCGGCTCATAACCAGAAAACTGTTGAAAGTGTACGATCCTATCAATGTACCATTGCCGGAACCGTTGAGAGAAGCATCGATTGTGCCGAGATCTGCTAGATCGGCAGGACCGAAGCCTAGCACCGAATCCGATGATGAGGAAAGTGAATATGAGGACGTGGATGAGGACTTGGGGTGATGCGTTTGGCGCATGTGGAGAGACGTTGGAGAACTCCGAAGCCTGAGATAACGATATGGTTGCAATGACGAGACAACGAAGAAGTGTTTACGCGCAATGGTGATTGGACTGACTTTGAAGGGAGAGATTCCATGGTGCGAAAAGTTCCTTGATTACTGGCGTGATTCGTGCGCCACAGACAACCCGGATTTGAGGAAACCCGTTGGCTGCGTTTATCCCGTGGTATCGCCATGGTATAAACAGACTTACATTGGGATGACAGAACGTGCATTAAACATGAGGTGGAAGGAGCACGCAACAAGAGGAGCAAAGAAGAAAGATGGAACCGATAAAGGAAGACGAAACCTGTACTCTTGGATGAGAAAGGTTGGTGTGGAACAGTACGTGGCTATTCCTCTATTCCCAAATGCGGATAGATTGGAACTCGAAGCGGCGGAGAAGTCGATGATCAAGACGCGGTCTCCCTCGCTCAATACAATGATGAAGAAATGGAGAACTAAGAAAAGACGACGACGCGGGAAGAAAGAACGGCGCCGGGAGAATAGGAAGATTGAAGTAGTGACTCCAGCAATGTACACAACGGCGGATTCTGAGAAATCTATACGGACCAAGATTCTTACTCTGAAGGACGATGATTCATCAGAAGGGACAGTTCGTATTGTGAGCTTACTGCGTAGACTAGCGCGAAGAAGGGGAAAGGGAGAGAATATAAATTGACAAGCAACGGTGGGCGGGTTTGGACCGATAATTGGCGGGTGGTGAGGAGAGTCTTTGGTGAGACAAGAGTGCTAGTGGGTAAGCGGACAAGGCCGTTACAAAGATGTAAGAAATTGTTTGATCAAGAAGGGGTCGTCAAGATTCGTGATGTGACGAAAGCATCACCATTCACGCTGAAACTGAAAGATGAATCAGTTAGAATGTTTAAGTATAAGAAGAGACAGAAGAAGTTGTGTGGATTGCGAATCGAGGAATTGATCAGATACTATGCAGCGGCAAAAGTGTTCTCGACAAAGAGATGTTGATCGAGGGCGAAAAAGATGGTTTCCGACGTGGTGAAGAAAAAGTTCGGGATACAAATCAATAGGTGTGTGGTTACAAAAGTGAGATTTGATGATCGGGTGAAGAAAAGGGGAAGTGGTGAGATTGATGAAGCGAAAGATCGGCGGCCTACCTCTTGATGCTTCCGTGATAGGAATGGTTAAGCAACGATCCCGAGTGGTTTGGACAAGAGGTCCCAACATCGGTGATATTATCCACAATCATCGCCGATATGCGGGGAGTGGAGTTGCGAGGTGCAACTGCACCGGATCGTCCCTACCGAAGAAGGAGGGACATGTCCATTTCAGATTGGGAGCTTAGGAGAACTGCCCGTCGATCGCAAGGAATGCAAAAAACATTCCGACAGACTGGAGCACCGAATGCGAGAAACGATTGAAAGGGGAAATCCTTTCGGCGCTCCATAGCATTGATTGGTTGAATGTGGACGTGAGTGGCGAAAGTATTAGTGACGATGAAGTAAGGGGATGTGTGAATAACGTTGAAGGCATGTGTGCTGGGAACATGGAATCTGTGGCTGAGTTGAGGACTCGAGGGTTTCGTCTGCACTCCATTGGATAGGAATCCGGGGGAGACGCTGGTGATGTGTGCTGAAGTGTATGCTGCTGGGATGGGTAGTACATTCATCAAGAACGAGGGGTATGAGCTCAGATTGGAGGACGAAGGTGACGTCATTGCTGCAATGGAAAGAGAGTACAAAAAGCATGATTTCGCATGTTATGGAAGTTGGAAGAAGGGTGGGAAACTTGGATGCGCTTATATATTGCCGAAACGCAAAGATACTTCGAAGTTTAGGCCAATCTGCCCTACGTTCAATGAGCCAGCCAACCAGCTTTGTCGAAGGATCTCTCGGGGGCTTAATAGTGTGAGGAAACCCGGGGAGGGGGCCCTGTTCGTCGCTGAAGCCAGGGACAGCGACGCCTGTCACTCGTCGTGCCCGCTTCAGAGGTCCTCAGCGGTGATCAGGGAATGGGGGGTTGCGTTGCCTGCCGCGCACCTTACTTGTCAGCTGGACCTGAGGTCTCTCAGAACTGTGAAAGGAAGAAAAAAAAAAACATGAAATAAAATAAACTTTGCAGATCTGGCCTGCAGATCTGAAATCTGGTTCCGAGCTCAATCTAAGCGTCGCAATTACCGTGCGGTTCCAAAACTCACGTGTGAGAGCTGGACTGGCATTATGTCTATCCTTCCACGAAACAACGATCTGAACGGTCACTTTTGTTTGGCTTCAAGTCCCCCTTAGTTCAGTGGTGTCTGATCGTTAGTTTAACCTTCCACCCCGGAGCTATGTCCCTAAATCGACCCCTGTCTCAAACTCTGTGCCAAAACAGGCAGTTTCCCAGCCCCAAAAGCTCTCTCTCTGTGTGTGTGTGTGTGTGTGTGTGTGTGTGTGTGTAGTCTCCCTCTCTCACTACAGTCCCTCTCTCTCTCTATGTCTCTGCAGTCTTCCTCTCTCACTACAGTCCATCTCTCTCCATCTTTCTGCAGTCTCCCTCTCTCTCTATCTCTCTCTGCTGCGCTGTCATTCTCCCTCTCTCTCTCTCTACGGTGTTGTCAGTCCCCCTTCTCTCTCTCTGCTGTGCTGTTAGTCCCCCTCTCTCTCTCTCTGGTGTGTTGTCAGTCCCCCTCTCTCTCTCTCTGTTGTGCACTCTCTCTCTCTCTTCTGCCTGCGCACTCTCTCTCTCCCTTTCTGCCTGCACACTCTCTCTCCCTCTCCCTGCGCACACTCTCTTAATCACTCTCTCTCACACCCGCACACTTTTCCTCTTACTCCCACTTCTGCACTCACGCTCGCTTCTGCAGGCCACGCTCACTTCCCTGCCTGATGAGGCAGTTCGCTGGTTCAATCTTGATAACTCAGCCGAGAACAATAAATAGTCAAATACCGGTTTACCGCATCTTCAAAACAAACTCCTATTTCAGATTAATACCGCTATGTCCAAATCTCAATCATTTCAAAATCCGAACGGTCATTGCCTCCGTTTTGTAAGCCCCTCTAAGGGAGTGAAACCTGATCTTTCATTAGAGATGGCGGTCGAGAGGAGCATTCAATGAACCATCGTCTTATCAAAATAGTGTGTGAAAAGTCTTATCATGTTTTTGTGCATCTGTTTGAGAGATTCATGCTTTGATCTTCGTGGGTTGCTCTCACAAAATACCCTCTAGTTAGAAGAGTGATCTCAGATGGGTAGGGGGCATATGGAGGAGAGTTGGTTTTAGCCAACTGCAACTCCACCTACATTATGCCAGTGGAGAGTCTGAAATGAGTGCTCTCTCTCCCTCTCTTTGTTCAATTCGCTGGAGTCCCCACCAGGGCCACCACAGTCTGCTCTTTCTCTTACCCAGTCCGCTCTCTCATTGATTCCCACAGTGGCACATACCAGCGCCCTCTCTCTCCCTCTTTTTCTCTCACATTGTGCAGTTCGTCTCTCTCTCTCCCTGTGCAATCCCTCTCTCTCTCTCACTCTGCAGTCCCTCTCTCTCTCTCACATTCTCTGCAGTCTTCCTCTCTCACTGCAGACTCTCTCTCTCCCTCTCTGCAGTCTTCCTCTCTTGCTACAGTCTCACTCTCTCTATTTCTCTCCAGTTTCCCTTTCTCACTGCAGTCTCTCTCACTCTCTCTCTGCTGCACAGTCTCTCTCTCTCACACTGCCTGTTCGAGTGCACGGAGTAAGCAGCCATGAGGCATAAGAAGTACCGGTTCAGACTCAACGTCCTAATTTAGGAGGGAGTGAAGCATGTCTTGGCCTGATGTATCCAGGCCTACAACAAGCCATTCTCCTCTCTCCTTTAATCAGCAGCTTCGATCTTGAATTGTATCCGCCCGCGCTCTCAGCCAATCAGGAAAAATAACACTAATAATAATAATAATAATAATAATAATAATTAAAAAATAAAAATAAAATCACGGAACAGTGTGTCCCTCTTCTCTCGTATCCCTCTCTTACGTATGCACTCAGCGCCTATGGCTTCTTTCCCACTCTCTTTCTCTTTCTCCGCTGTACTCAGTGGGATTCACCTTTGAAAACCAGGTTCATAGTCAGTCCATCTCCTCTGCCCAGGTACATAGCTATCGTGCCATCAACAACATCTCTTGATTGAGCACGGGGTCCATCAGACCCGTTCGCTCCCGTCACCGTCGTTCACTGCCCGTGCGCTGCGGTCACTTGCCCATGCGCACCGTTCCCCCTGGTCGCCTCTCTCCCTTTATGGTCTCTCCTCCATGGTTGCACACCCATGGTAGCACAAGTGAGCCGCGTTCATTCGGGTCGCCCAATCCAGTGAGCCCGGTTCGCCCTGGTCGCCTGCGTCCCGAATGTCCCCATGCCCCTCTGCCACCCTTCCTATCTTGGTTTCGGGTCGCGACACCAGCCTTACGCACAGCCAAAAACTGGCACGAAAGGTACCAGACCTTCAAACTCGCCAAGCAGACCCGCGGTTCCCTTGACTGGTCCGAGGTTTAAACCAGCAGGCCCGTTTCAGGACCCGCGGGGGTGAGATATGTACCGCCCACAGTAATAACACACCGGACCAGGCCAAGTGCAGTCCGAACTTGCAGGTCCACTGTATAGGGACCATAATATATTACTAAACCTGAAGTAATTATTTTTTGACAGCTGCAGCCTGACCCAGTCCATTGCCGGGTACCCCGCAGTAGTACCCTACAATACCAGTTCCATACTCCGCACCAATCCAAGAATCGTTGATAGTACTGTGTTGTGAATGAACCATACCAGTGTAACAGTAGCTCATGTCGCAGCCCAATCATGTCGTCGTGATCAGAGAATGGTGCCAAAAATGTGCCACGCGAGTACCACCAAGGTCTGTGCCGCACCTGCCCCGAACCAAAGTGCCATGTTCGAGTCGACCCAGTGTCCACACCGAAGTGATAAAGCCGGCGGCACAAACCACAAATAGTCCCAGCAGCAATGCCACACTGACCTTACAGTCTCACTCACTCATAACACCTAAATTACGGCGAAGGTAGCAATCAAGTAAATCAGGCAAACCAGATAA